TTTTTCGCGATAAATTTAATTTAAATTATAAGTTATAATGGAGACACGCTTTCAATTTATTGAAAGATTTGTTAGGAAAAAAAAATAAAAAAACTATATTCAATCATTTTATTTTAACATCTGTATCAAATTTACATGATATATTAGAATATACTTTTATCCATTTACTTTAAATAATATATAATGTTTGTAATTTGAATATGATATATTAAAACATGTTTTTTTAAAATTAACTGAAAGTATCGTGTACCTTTTTCATTTATATAGTTTCATATAAAAATAATTATAAACAGTTATAAACAATAATAAATAATAACTATTGGTAAATACCTATAGGCATTTATCAATTCTATTCCTGGCAGCTATTTTACTTTTAATCTATTTTGCGCGATGTGTTAATATAACCTGGAATGTTCTGTTTGTATATCAAAATGAGATTGTAAATATTTTATAAAAGGTTTATAATTCCTATAGATTAAAAAGCCGAACAGCTTATATAAAGCACGGAAATATCCAGACTGCGTATTACGTCTTAAAATAAAAAAGCTTTTTTTAATAAAGGAAACGGTTATTGAACGGTTATTTGAATATAGATTCTAAAATCTATTGACAAATAAACTGACTCACTGGTAAAATAAAATTTTTTAAAAACAAATAAAATGTCTTTTTTTAAACATGAAATTACAGTGAGGTATTTGTAACAAAAAGTATAAACAATATTGCGTAAATTAATAAAATAGACATTTTAATTGTTTCTTAGTTTCCCATGAAAATAGTAATGCTTTACTTTCAAACTGTTTAAAAGTTATAAATTTATAATAATGGGCATTTTTATATAAAAGCTCTTTATTCTTTATTATAATATAAAAACATATTTCTTTTTTATATGTTCAGTTTTTAACAAAAAGTTTCGGAAAAGGACCAGTTTGACATTTGTTGTTTCATAGCTTCATAAAAATTCTTATTAACTAATATGTGTTGACAACCCTTTGTAGTTGTCTTGCCAACGTTATAATAAATGTATTTGTTAGTTTTGTTTGTAAAAACGTCGAAACAAAAGTTTATTTGTAATCGTAAAAAATGTCCCTGTGAAAAGTAACTTGAAGGGAAAGAGAAAATTATAGATTGAGAGTTATAGATTTATAGATCCAAAATCTTTTCCTACTCTTTCTTCTATCTTTAAATCTTTGAAAAAACCATCGTTTTTCAAGACTGTTTAACTTACTTGACAAACTGTTTAACTTACGTGACAAAGTAACACATTAGTCAGGTTTTAAGGAGAAGAGTAAGACAGGAAAATAATGGCTAATAATAATCGAAAGTCTGATAAATTGATAAAATTTTTTGTTTATTTTTTTTTAAACTTTTTTTGTCCGAAATAGAAAAAATGCCCGTGCATCTACTAAATGTTGTTGCGCATTGTTTTACCATTCTAATTCTCTAGTTTTCATCCATTCGATGCTCCGTCATATAATGTGTAGTTTTCAAAATATTTTAATTACCCAACTTGCCCCTATGCTTATCTAATCCCTCTCTACTCTACCAAAAAATTGGGTGCCAAAAAAACTTTTCTTTTTCATAATGAACACATTTTTATTATAGACATAACACAGAAAATCTTTCTTTTTGGCATAAAATCCAAGATATTTTTAAGTCATATTTATTATATGATTTTTCTATTTAACTTAGACCCTTAAGCTATACATACAAATTTTTAAGTTAAAATGTATTTTACAATAACTTAGTATTTATCAAAAGTATTGTCGTGAATTTGAAATACACAGTCGTCGTTGAATGCTTAACACTTGGTATTCATTCTAAATATATTGTAAAATGCCTCCCACGTTTTTAAGTAAAGAACGTGTTTTTAAAACCTTTATATATAATATCTTTATTTCTAAAGAAATTTTTTTATAACTTTCAGTTTACAGTAATAATATAGTTTTTTGTTATGTTTTGTATAAATAATAAAATTGTTGCTAAAATAAAATAAAAAAAAAAACCGTTTAAAAATAAGAGAATTTTTTTACGTCATAATTATAAAAGAAGCATAAAATACCACTAACAAAATATGACAAGTATACTGCGGTTAGACTCAAGTTTTTTTAATTTTTTACAATAATTTCAGAAAAATTTGTTTTTTAAAGAAAATTATTTTTAACAAAAATTAAAAACTTGTTCAAGATCTAAGTTAAAAATTCATCGTTTTACAACTTTAGCAAATATTATATAACAATTTATTTATTATCTAAACTAGTCATTGTTAAATCATTATCGTTAAAGGCTGTCATAGATTTAACACGGGGTTAAATCTCAAATGCTATACTTATAATTAATATTATTATTATTATTATTAATATTGGGAGGAAGAAATAAGACAAGATAAATTTAAAGATTTTAGGCGAAAGACAACCTAAAATGAATATAGAAATAGAGAGAATACTAATTTGTGTTATTTAAAAAAAAAATATGGTACTTCTTAATCAAGCCAAAGCAAACGTGTTTAAATTAGGACCGTCGAGAGCCTGACACAGCAAACTTCATTGGCGCCCTTATTTATCAAAAGTTCCCTACATTTTAGATAAAGGATCTTTTTTTTTAGGTACCTTTTTTCATTTAGCCCCCTTCGGATATCTGCTGCCCGGGACAAACTGTCCCTTTCGCCCCCTCCCCCTCCCTCTCGGCAGCGCTGGTTTAAACATTTAAAGACTTATTAAGCATTTTTATATTTAAAGTTAGCAATGAAAATGACTCGATTTTTACATATTTAGATCTTTCTTTTAAAAGTCAAAAAAACTTTCATGTTTTTTTTTTGCAAAAGGTTTTAACACTTTTTTACATTTTAATGTGCCGAACTAGTAAGGCAGCCGTTGTTGTTAGTTAGTAACCAGGCAATTGGTGTTGTTTAAAAAACCAACTTTTTTTTTTCTGTGTTAAAAAAGAAAAAAAAAAAAAATTCGGTGTCTCTACCCACCGAAGTAAAAAAAAAAAAATACTTATAATATGTTTATATCAGCCGTTGTATATAGCATATATAACTATTTTATTATAATTATCAGCCATTATATAGCATATACAAATATTTTTAAAACATATTTAAAATTTATAATAGTTAAAACAATTAAGAAAGCAGTGAAAGAAACAACTGCGTGTGTTTCTTTTCCAAAAACATCCGTTCTCAGCGTACTCTGCAATGTAGAAAAAACTAAAAGCATAATACATAACTTAGGATGTTTGCAAAAAAAAAAAAAAATTATAATTTGTTCAATTTTTATCAAATATTGAACTAAATGTATTGTTTTAGTGGTAAAATTGCAGTGATAAAAATTGCAGTGATAAAATAACCATTAAAAAAATGTCAAGATTATTATGTTCCACCTTTTCAATTATTTTTCAATTAGGATTTATTTAAAGTTTGTAAAGCTGCGGTGTGTTATCTCAATCGGATAAAAAGTACATAATTAATGAAAAACTTAAGTATTTGAAAGCTTATTTTGACGTAATTATAATAAAGTTGATTGTTCTAAAAATGAAAACAATTTTACAGTAAACAAACTAAACTATATTGGTTTAAAAACAAAATCTTCCCTGGCCATTGTAATGGGCGGATAAATAATCACTTTAAATATGTTTTGACTGGTAAGTTGTTTTTCGATAACGCGGTCTTTATTATTTGTTAACTTTATGACATTTTAAGTGCCTTTTGTTAACAAGAAGAGATTCTTTAATAGAAACTCGATCTATAGCTTGTTTATTTGATTGGTTATTACGTTAAACACTTAGTTTGCTTTTTTCAGCTCTTTAGTGTCTTTTCCTTCTCTTTCAACATAAAAGCTGAAATTTTCACCTTATACAGACTGAAACGACCAACAAAGTTCTCAACAATGTTCTAATAAAAAACAAAAAATCGAATTAAATTCGTATTTTTAAAACATGGAGATAGTGAGTCTCGAGGGTGACTTCATAAGCAATTTTGAGCATTTATGTAATAAAACAAATAAATTAACCTTGACGCAATAAACAACTCTTAACGACTATTTACGCATTTACTTTGTGCAAAACATAGTTCATCAGTTTAAAAACCGATTTAAAATGTTATGAGGTTTTGAAACAAAAAAGTCAGGTTTAAATCAAATTTAAGCAAATATGCTTAATAAATATTATTAGCACTAATTTTTTGTAATTTTTTAAACCAAATTTCTATGCAAGCTAATGAGTTTTTACCGTATTTTGAGTTCCCCTCAGAATTGCGCAAAACCAATACATTAATGTAAAAATGCGTTTAAAAGCTAACAACGGGTTAAAACGCCTCAAATAAAAAAATAATAAAAAAAAATACAACGGCAACAGGTTGATACACGCAAAATAAGAAAATTATATGAAAAGTGTAATCATTGATATAAATAGTACCGGTGTAGTTCAGTCAATAACCTTATTAATGAAGTCAGTAATACAAGTATCGCAGTTGGAAGTGATAATGGAGTACAGTCAGCATAAAGTTCAAGGTTTGAATGTGTAATCTTTATAAAAAAATTTTAGCACTTTTTTTTTAGTACTAAAGCAGTATTCGAGAGTAATAAAATTTTTTAACAATTCGAACTAATAATTATTTGTCAATGTTTTTAAAAGACAAAAGAATAGAAGTTTACATTTAGGGTTGTATTTTTTTGTTACTAGGTTAAGAAACGATTAAAATGTAATATATTGAATTTCGTTGTTTTAAATGTACTATTATTGTATTATTATTGTAAAGAATAAAGCGGAGTCCTTAAACATATTTTTTAAATTCAAAAAGACCCAAAAAACCCGTAAAAACCCGCTAAAACCTTTTTTATATCAATTTTATGATTAATTAACAATGCAATGTTTGATAATTTAACAATATACTTAATATTTAGGTTGCTATTGACAGATACTAAATGTTAAGCTTAATTTTGAACGCTGCTCGTTTAGCAAGCAATAAAGAAAGGAATATATTTAATTAAATAAACAATAAGACATTTGTCGTTTGATAAATGTTAAATGACATAAAAGATTTATTTACACAATTAACTTTATATACAAGCTATTTTAAAAAAAAACTTAATGGAAAATTTTGTTTAACGGTTTTCTATTTTATGGAAAATATAGTCATAGGGGCGTTCAAAATAAATTCTCGATGGTTCGATGCTATATTTACGCTTTGTAATTTTATCGTCTTTCAATAGGTTTTCAATGTCAAATGGTCGATTTGATTTTACAGAATGACTAGTTTTAGCACTAGAGGTTTGACTTTTTGCTTCAGCCAATTCCCGAGGGAAAAATTCCCTAGGCTCTTCCTTTTTTTCAAATGAATATTTTTCGATTGAGCATAAAATGTCTTTTTCCAAGATGTATCCAGAGTTATCAGTAAATCCTTTATTCTGTGGATAATGAAGCTGAAATGGGTAATAGTTAATCGCGTACGGAGGATATGTGGGTGACGACACACCCCGACGCACTCTTCTCTGAACGCGACGCCTTCTAAAGTCCCCTCTAGCAAAATCTTCGTAGTTTGCTGTGTTTATAGCCCAGTAATGTCCTTTTCCATTTGGGCTTCGGCCTGCCTTTATAAAACAATCATTTAAACTCAGGTTATGTCGAATACTGTTTCTCCAACCAGAGCCTTTTTTTTTAAAGTAATCGTAACGCTCAAGAACATATTTATAAATGTCACTTAATACTAAGCGTTTGTCGGGTGAAGCTAAAATGGCGTTAGCTATCAAACTTATGTAGGAATGACTTGGTTTGTCGTTAAAAAGTTCATTGTTTATTCGGTGTTCTTCGTTAAAACTGCTAGAATGTTTATTCATTATTAAAGTCGGGTAAGAATCATCATCTGAATTATAATCAGTGGACACACTTGCTCTAGAAATGATCAACTTGGATTCCTCTTCGATCATGTTTAATGACAAAAAAAAAGTCTTTCCAATGCAATTTATAAAACACAAATGCGTAATTGAAAAACAAAATTATTGAAATCGACCCCTTAACCACTTCTCTGAACTAAATATTTGAACAGGAAATGTCATTTCGTGCATTTGGATTTAAGTATTTATAGGTGATTGACAATAAGAAAATTGCCAGACATGCATTCTCAACTATTCTGATGATAATTGATGGTTGACATATTTAAGAAAAATTACTTTTTTTTTTGTAATTGAAATGTCAGTTACACTTGTTGATTGCAGTGTTTTAATACAATATTTCACCCCAATATTGATCTTGTTTTTGTTTTCAAAACATTAATGACTAATTACGTTTAAATTTTCTGATTATCTTTAAAATATTGATTTAACAATTACAGATTATTGTGCCCATTTTAAACAGATAACATATTTTAGAATCTATTAAACGTTTTTAGAAGTGAAATGAACTTCAAAGTGTGTAATGACAATAATAACAGAGGGGATAAGGGGGATAAGGGGGGCATGAAGTGTTTTTTTTTTTTGTCTGATTTTCTTTTAAAATACTAAATTAGCACATTAAGTAAAACTGTTTTGCAATCACAGTGCAAAAATGAGTTACTTTACGAGCCCTACGTTGCCCAATTAATATACGCTTAAATCTTTATAAACTGGAGCTCATACAAACGCCTTTTACATTGAAAACTACTTGTTACCAACTCTCTTTATAACAATTTTTTTTTTTTTTTTTTTACAAACAGTTTTTTTTTTCATACAAACGCCTTTTTATACAAACACTTTTTACACAAACGCGTTTTTAACAAACATATCACCAAGCGAATAAAATATTATTGGTTATTAAATAATACTTGATGGTGATGGTGGCCTAAACTTGTGTACTGAGTTGTTTTTGATTGATTTGTTTTTAGAAACACACAAAAAGTATAATCGTAAACATCATAAAAAAGACTGCCTACGTGTTTCCGTTTTGCTATATTTTCAAACTTAAACAATCAAAAGTATTAGACCGCATTTTATCAATCAATGTTATAACCATTAAAAAAAAAAAGATAAACAAATGGATAATATTTGTGAACATTTGTTTTTTTAATAACATTGTGAAACTAATTCTTGATTGAAACCTTGTTAGCGAATTTTTCACATAAAATACGTAAAATAGTGCAAAACATTGCAAAAGGTTATAACGTTTTAGCCTTTTTTGTTGTTTTTTTTTAAAAAAAGCTAATATATAAAAACACCAATTAAATATAGAAACAATATAAGCCTAAACATTTTTAACCAAAACCGTTCCAAGTCGGAGTAGTAAATAAATTTTGCAAACATGCTCATAGGTCTTATATGTTTTGTGTTAACTAAAATACACTTTTAAGAAAATTTATTTATTGAATTACTTATAAATACATATTAAAGAGAAACTTATGTCATATCAGAGAGAAATAATTTTTGAATTAATATTTATTTACTGAAGTATTTTTGAAAACACACTCGGAATTTTTTAATAATTTGTGCGCACAATTTTAATTATTTTTTTACAACCCTTGTACATCAGGAACAAACAACAGTTCTGAGAAGATAGTTGTAAAATAATGCTGTTGTTTTTTCTGACTGATAAAAAAGTTTAAAAAACCTTTTAATTAGAATTAAAGATGTGTTGTATAAAGGAAATTTTAATAATGGATAAGAAGAGTGTATTATTAAACTGATACATAATCTCTCAATGTCTCTTCCTTCACTTTTCAAAACACAACAACAACATTATTTTGATTGAATTAAAAAAAAAATTGGAACACTGTATATTATAACCTAATGCAAAGCCAAAAGATTTGTGTCATGACGTTTATTCAGTTATTGGCACAAAAGCTGAGTTATTTTTTAACATCGAATAATCTTGAAGGTTTTGAATGATAAATATAATAATTAAAACTAAATTAGAAGAAACAAAAAAAGAAAAATTCCTTCAAAGCAATTTGTGTTATAAATACAGGAAGCTTAATTTAGAACTTAAATAAAATTTTGCAATTTGTGTGTGGTGAAAAAGGCGGCAAAGCAATACTGTTAAATACAAGACTTTGCTGAATTAAATAGAAAAACTATGGAAACTATGGAAACAACTGTTTTGTTGAAAATTTTTTAAAAATAAAGATCATTATCTAAAAAACAGTTATTAAAGCTTAAAAACAAAATATTTGCATTTTTTAATTGGTCTTTTGATGCTATATTTTATTTAAAAAGTGATATGTTTGATTTTATTTAAAAAGTGACGTAAATATTTAGGTTATTGTAACTCCTCAGTTCAATTTTTTTTTTTTTTCTTTGATATTTTAATATCAAAACAAGTAGTTATCCCCATTTATTAGAGGAGAATGAGGTTCGATGTGAGGTGAATGAGGTAAGATAAAAGTAAATCTTGAGATAAGAAGAAACTTTAGAGGTGAATGAAGTAAGATATAAGTAAATCTTGAGATAAGAAGAAACTTTAGAGGTGAATGAGGTAAGATATAAGTAAATCTTGATATAAGAAGAAACTTTAGAGGTGAATGAGGTAAGATAAAAGTAAATCTTGAGATAAGGGGAAACTTTATTTTAATTACTTAAGTTATTTTAAAAACTTAATATTTATTTTAAAAGAGATATACAAAGAGTTTTTTCGTTTGCATTTTTTTTCAAATAGTTTTTTAAAAATGCACTGATGGTGACATTAAATATTTAATGTTACCCTCTAATAATTATCATACCTAATAACTATTAATCATTCTTAATAATTTATCCATAATTGTCATCAATTTTTTAAAATAATGTCTAGTGTATATGATTTTCTCAATTGTCTTGCTCGTCGAATTGGAAAGCCTAATTATTGTAAAAAGCATCCTTTGAAACCAAAAACGCAGGCCAAACATTTTAAACAAAACTGTTAATTGGAGCCTGTGCATACATTTATTATTGTACCACTGAAAAAAGAAACCAAAGCTTGCATGCTTTGGTCCAGCTAAATTAAAAGGATTGAATCAAATAGCATTTACCGTCATTAACCCAGTGGGTACGGACGTAAAAAAGACAACTTTTAATTCCCAGTGGACAGACATGTGTTCAAAACGTCTTGTGCTCGGCTAGTCTGGCTTTATATAGATAAATAAAATGATATTTTAGTTGAAATAAAGAATTGGTTAATAAATGTTATGTTGTTGGGTCTTATTCAAACTATTCAAAACATGTTATGGTGCCAATTTTTAATCCCAGAAACTAAATGTGAATTCATTTGCGTTGTTTTTTTTTTGCCTAGATGACATTTAACTGGATTGCTTAAGCAATCCTACAACATTTTTTTGGAAGAATTGTCCGTTACCGTCTTTTCTGAGAATCTATTCTAGTTGTAAAATTTTATAGCAATCAGTTAAAATGAGATTATTGAAACTTTCATATTATTTTATATTTTAAGAATCTTTGTCAAAAATTGATTTTTTTATTAAATTTTTTCATTAAATTTTTTCATTAAATTTTTTCATTTAAATTTTTTCATTAAATTTTTTTTTTAGGGAAAGATTGTTAGTTAAAAACGGAAACAGTAAGCTATAAATTGCATGAAATATACCTTCTGTTAACTTGGTAAATGGGGCTTTTATATTAATTGTAAAAATTCTATTTAAATATAATTAAGTAGAAACATACCAATGAATTTAGCAATAGTTATTATACTTTAATCAGAGATGAACACGTGACACGTTATCTATATATTTTATACCAAATCATTCGTCACACATTCAGAAGCCGATATCAGTGTTTATTGTCAAAAGAATTTGAGAAAGAATTACTTCAACACTTTTATATGGACACAAATTTAATTAAAGTTTTTTCGCGCATACAAATATTCACTGGATTTCAAAATAACGATTGTTCCCATCAATATAATTAATCAGCCAAAGTTAAATACTGCTAACACATTTAAAAAACTACATTCTTAAACTGTCTTTATCTTTTCAGTCACCCCAATCTGTGCCAGTACTACCAACTAGACCAGTTATTACTCTGTCTCAACTGCTGCCTTCTGAATCTACACCAACAACACTTAGCATTAGGATACACTATATAACATTAGTTCCAACTTTAAACTCAATTCGACTTCAACGAGCTTTCAGCAATATAGGATAACTTGCTATTTAAAAAAAAATTCAAAAGAAAGTTGAAAAAAATTACAAGTCCAATTGCTTGTTGCAGCTTTGTAATAAATGTTTAGCATCCAATACATTAACACACAAAAAATAAAAAAATATGTAGACTTTCCAATTTTCAAAGGAGAATATCTCAATAAATTTAAAATACGTGAGAGATTTAAAGATAAAGAAGGAAAAAACCAGCAAAGCTAAAAACAAAGTAATTTTTTTGCTTACATATAAATATGTCCTGCCCTATTAACTACTTTTTAATAAAAAAATGTATAAGGTTTGTGCTTAGGTGGTCCAGCCGATGCTTTATACACAAAATCTCTATCTGGATGGATGGATGATAAGCAATTTGTGTAGTGTTACGCACGTATACTCACTAATATGTACGTTTCTGCCACTAAAAAATCCTAGTAACCTAGGTAACTAATTTAATCTTTAGTTAATAGTTATTTAAAGTTATTAGCTCTTGTTATTTAAAAGGAAATTCAAAAAGTAACAAAAAAAAATTGCAATCAACCCATAGCTTACCATAGCTTCACAACATATGTTTTACATACAACACATTGACATAACAAAGAAACAAAAAAATGTAAACATATCAAGATTCAAAGGTAAGTGTTCAGATAAGCTTGAATTACTTGAGAGATTAAAAGATGCTGATGCAGCAAAAAAGCAGTAAAGCAAGCTTGGAAACAATGTAGCTTAACTTTGATGATGAGAAGAAAATAAACTTCAGCATCAACGGAAAACCAAGTCCATTGCAAATCCACTAAAAATATGTTTGCTGGGATTGTCTTAAAGTTTTAACAATTGAGCAATTTGGTTCAACTCATCCTCCAGATTATCACAATGATTAAACATCATCAGAATAATAAAAAAAGTTTTTTTTATTGGTTTGTTGTTTTTTTAAATGTTATAATTCGTTATTCTAGTTTAACTTAGTGGTTCATTCCATTTTGTCGAGGTCGATAAGTTGCACTGCAAAAAGTTAAAAAGAAACAAGACTTATTTTAAAGGCAAATGCAAAAAACTTAAAAAATAAGCAAATACCCAACAAACCTGATATTTTTTCATGTGTACTTCTGAT